CATCTTCAAATGAAGTGCTGGATCAGGAACCCAGTTCAAGCAGGCTCTGCCGGCACAGAGAGTTTAAACCAGGATGTGGCCAAGGTGCCTTGGTCTGTGCAACTATAAATGACCTTCTCTCTCTCTTAGCCTGCAGACTGGCTTCGGGGGAGGTGCTGATGGATCTTGAACTCAGACGACTCAGGCTAGGTTGATAGATGGTTCTAGATAATATGTAGGCTCCACCAAAAGTGGATAGCTGACAGTACTAAATGCAGTCCCGTCTGGGACATCCCTGTAGGACAATGGTGAAAGAGAATCCTGCCAGCAGTGTGCCTGGTTGTGCACTTTGTTTGGAAGGAGAAACAGCTAGACATACAAATTATATACTGATTTACAGACTGCGGCTAATCGTTTGGCTGGATAGCCAGACACTTGGAAGGACCATGATTGGAAAACTGGTAACAAGGAGAAGAGGTATATATGAAGGTACTTCAAAAAAAGTCTGTGAAAAATGGAAATAAAAGTTCACTTTGGGGCCAAAAAAATGAAACCCACGCATATGAAGGGGCTTTAAAAATGTTCAGAGAAAATGTGCATTATGAAAACATCGTGCATGGATTTCAAACATTTTATACCAAACTTATCTTTTAATTTCACTTTCTCATAAACTTTCTGGAGTCCCCTGGTATTGGTGGGGTTGTGGTCCTCATCCCATTCAGAGACCCTGGTCTCATGACGCAGTGGGAAGATGTGGCTGGGAGACACTCCGGTCTTGCTACTGCTGTTAGCACAAAGTTGTCGGTCTATGATGATAATTGTTTTATTCCACAGAGGCCTTTTTATCAGGTTGAGGTCATTTCTTTCTATTCCTAGCTTGTTCAGTGTTTTTATGGTGATGGGATGTCAGATTTTGTTAAATGTTTTTTCTCTATCTCTTAAAATGGTCATAGGTGTTTTTTTTTCCCCTGGTTTAGTCCAATTCAGGCTGCTACAGCAACTCTACCATAGACTTGTGGCTTGAACAGTATCTCCCACAGCTCTGGAGGCTTGAAGTCTAACATCAAGGCCGTGGCATTACGGTGTCCAACAAGTGCCTGATCCCGGCTCATAGACAACTCCCTTCCAGCTGTGTCTTTGCCAAGCAAGAAAGAGCAAGGCTGCTTTCTGGGTCTCTTATAAAAGGGCACTAATTCCATCGATGATGATTCTGCCCTCATGACCATATCACACCCCTATTATATTTAGGGGCAGGGTTTCAACATAGGAATTTGGGGGTAGCACAAAGAATCCATAGCATTCTGCCTCTGACCCCACAAAATGTGTCTTTCTTACCCAGAAAACATCTCTTCAGTCCCAGCAGCTTGCTTTGGTCCAGCATCAGTTTTGAAGTCTCAAATCTAGGATTTCATCTAAATCTCATTTAAACCAGACATGGGAGGAGATCCAAGGTAAGATCCATTCTGAGATACTTTGCACTCCAGCTGTGAATCTGTGACACCAAGCAAGTTATGCATTTTCCAAATCACAATGCTGGAAGACGCCCAGGGCTCCCACTCCAAACGAGAAAGAAAATCCAAAGCACGTTCAATCTCAAGGCTCCAGCACAGTCCTCTCTGCTTGAGGTTGCACCTTCCTGGCTCACTAGGAAGGGGGTGCAGCTCCCACAGCACAGCAGGTCAGCCCCTCAGTCTCTCCCTGCTTGGGCCTCGCCCCTGCAAACCGCTCTCTCCCACAGCCCTGCAGCTGCTGAGCTGGGTTCTCACGCCTATAGCTCTGTGGAATGGGGTTGTGGCCCTACACCTTCCATCGTTCTAGGAAACCTCATCCTTTTAATTCTGCGGTAGAAGCAGCCACGCCCCCAGGGCCTGGGTATTCCGGGCCTAAGATAAAAATAGCACCCTGATGATCTCTGAATTGCTTTGCAATCACTCATGCACTACTGAGGGGAATCTTCAAAAAGTTCATGGAAAATGCATATTACGAAAGACTACACTTAGATGTCAAAATTCCTTTGCAATAAAATAAGCTTATTTTTAAATTCCATTTTCACAAACTTTTTATTTTTATTTTTTTAGGAATGTTGCCTATTTTTATTTGAAAGGCAGAGAAAGAGAGAGAGGAAGGTAATTCCCATCCACTATTTCATTTCCAGGCCTCCCATGTGGATGGCAGGGACCGCTGCTTCCCAGGCTGTGTGTTAGGAAACCCAGGCTCTCCAATATGGGATGCAGGCATTTCAAGCAGCATAGCATTGCTGTGCCAAACATCTGCTCCTCCATGAACTTTTTGAAGAACCCTTGTATCAAATGAATTTCTCTAAATGGGTACATGTGTAAAGAAATGTGTGTTCCACACGGATGCTCACCAAAGGTTGACTCCAGCACAGGAAAATTTTGATATTCAAGTGAATAAGATGTCCCCACCTGTGGATACTGGTCAGCCTCTTTCCCTAGCCAGCCTTGTCGTCACCCACTGGACTCATGAACAAGTGACCATGGTAGCAGGGATGCAGGTTATGCACGGGCCCAGCAACTCAGATTTCCACTCACCAAGGCTGACTGGGTAAGTGCCTGAGCTGCATGCAGCAGAGACAGCACTGAAACTGTGATATTGCATGATTTCTAGGAGTGACCAGGTAGCTATCTCATGGCAGGCTGACTACACTGGATCACTCCCGGAATAGAAGGGGTAGTGTTCTGTTCCTACTGGAACAGACATCCTGGATACAGACTTGCCTTTGCTGTGCGCTACGTTCCTTCCAAAATTACCATCCGTGGACTTATGAAGTAACTTATCCACCATCATGGAATGCCGCACGCAACATTGCTTCTCATCAAGGAACTCACTTCACAACAAATGGGAGTGTCACGATGGGTTCATGTTCCCCACCCGGGGCTTGGCAGAATGGCGGAATAACCAGCTAGGTGACAACGCCCTGCAGGGCTGGGGCAAGGTTATCCGGAAGGCTGCATGTACTCTCAGGTTCATGTGTACTCTCAGGTTCATATGTACCATAGGTCATGTGTTTCTCCCACAACCAGGGTGCACAGGTCCAAGAATCAAGGGGTAAAAGCGGAAGTGGCACCATGAATAGCCCTAATGGCCCACTGGCAAGATTTCTACTTCCTGTCCCCAGGAATGCATACTCTGCCAGTCTAGAGGTCTCAGCTCCAAAGACAGAAATGTTGCTATTAGGAAATGAAGCGATGGTTCCACTGAACGGGAAGTTGCGACAGCAGCTCAGCCACTTCGGGTTCCTGGTGCCTGAGTCCACAGGCAAAGACGGGGATATGCTCCTTACAGGACAGACCCTGAGTGTCGGGAGATCCAGTTGCCATGACACCATGGGGGCAAGAAGAATCATGTCAGAGATGCCGGGCGCCTCTTGCTACCCCCACACAAGACAGCCAAAGGCCCCAAACACTCAGGCACAAAGCTTTCCACCCACCACTGGGCAAGGAACCGTGAGGAAGAGGATGGTTTCCTAAAGGGAGAGACAATGCGGAACAGGCGACAGAAGAAGGTAGACAGAGACTTTAGCGATGAGCATGTCCAGAAACAGGCCTGGATAGATATGAGCATTTCTTCCTTATTCTACTTAAACATGTTCTGTCCTATACTATGAAATACTTTCTTCACTTCCCTCGCCTCCTTCCCAACTAAAATGTGTGAGTATCTTTGTATTACTGTGTTCATATCATTGTAACACTTACATAGTTAACCTTGTATCTCATGATTTAAGATATGGGATGTCAGAAAAAGGGAGTACAAATCAGATAAGGAGAAACACCACCCAAAGATACAGAAGAGATTCTGTTTTCTTTTCCAGGGATGGGGCTGACCCTCAATACTAAGGTTAAGGCCACAGGAGGAGCCACAGCCTCTGTCCACCCTTGGGAGGTCCCAGCTCACCCTGACCTTCCCAGTTCCCATGCACCACTCCTTCTCCAGTGCCTGCCTTGGGGGCTCCAGGCGTCAGGTGCCAGACAGCATCTGATGGATGCTCCACTAGCTCCAGCAATCACAGAAGACACTCCCACAGGGTCTCCCCATCATTCTACTTCTCTGGGATCACAGGGAGGAAGGCCTCCATGGTCCAACGACTGGGAGCTAATAACGAACGTGATTCACTATACAGAACTCTCCAGCACCTCGAACGAGACATCCAGAAGGAGGCATAGAGGAAGTCACATTTCCCAAGCGTGTTGTCAATATGGAGCAACTCAAGAACTTTCTAGAAAGGGCTGTGCGCCTCACATATACACGGAGCCTCAAGTGCAGGGCTCAGGGGTGCTGGTCCCATCCGAGGTCTTGCCCTGCCGGGTGGGGTTTAAAGTGTTGACCATGACACAGGCAGATCACACTCCTCCTCCAAGAACTCCAGCCCTGCCCTCTGGCTATGACCATCCAAGCGATCACAAATCGGTCTCTTGCCTTGCGAGAGAGGACCCTTGACTTCATCCTAGTAACTGTCATAATAATGCTGGACCTCATGACAGAGCTAACACGTTACAGACTATGTATATGAAAACTCACATAAATTATATCAAGTTACACACACATAACTTTTGGTATGACTTTTTTTAAGCAATATTCTTAGCATCCCTGTGACGTAAACAAGTAGCAGGAATCTCCCACAACAAAACCTTAACAAAAGGTTGCACTGTTGCAAAATCAGGCAGACTGAGCCCCAGCTGAGTCAGTTCTGCTTGTCCTCTTGTCCTTGGTCCTCTTGTACCAGGCACAGGCCTCTGCTACAGCAGCCGGGAGCATCTCTGGTCTCCTGAGACACTCACGTTCCTCCAAGTCCCATATGCACAGCAGCAGGCCAGGGACCCTCTAACCCGAGACTGAGCAGTGCAGTGGGAACCTTCCATGACCCAGGCTCCCTGGTTACAGACCACTGCCACCAAAGTCAGTCCATGTACAAAGCCCTTGGACATTTAAGGAAAAGCAAACTCATCATTGAGCATTCGTGCAGGAAGCCACCACGATCCTGGAGCCCACACCCGCCCTACCTGTGCGGGACAGCTTCTGCAAGGTGACCCTCAGGTGCTGCAGAACCACGGGCGACACTTCATAGCGGTATATGTCTATCGCCGGAACCTTCTGGCACCTTCCAAACACTCCATCTGTGAGAAAAGGCAGGTGGCGAAGAGAGAGAACGTGACATTTCAATTTCAGACAGGAGAAAGGTATAACACACATCTTGACCATCTATTTTCATGATGCACCGTGGTGAGGCCTTGGAATGCGGCTTTAGAAGGTCATCAAAGAGCCAGGAGAACCCAGAAGCACTTGCAAAGAGGGGAAGGTTTTGTTTGCCCAAAACACCCCGTGCCACGGAAAACACAAAATGCGGAAGGGGAGAGAAGAGGAGTCAGGAGCCCCATGTAGTGTGAATGTTTGATTCCACATCCCCACCTCCCCCAGGAGCCCCCCACTTCTCCTCAACCACATTTCACCTGGCTCATGTGAACCTTTGCCTCGGCCAAGTCAGTGACATCCAGGGCCACTTTTCCAGGTGAAAAACACAACACCCGGGAAATAGAAACATTAATTTGCAGGAGCCGCAGCGCCTGGGGGCAGCATCCCCCAGGCAGGCGCAGGCCGGGTTCCAGGGGTGCTTTCTGACCGCAGAAGAGAGGCGCTGGGGAACAATGCGCATTAATGGGGCTAATTCACTGAGCTCTCTCCCATTTGTCTGAAATGACAGGCTCTGCTCATCCACATCCTTTCAAACCACACCCTCTAATTAATTTAGGCCTAATTAGTCTTTATTCAGCAAATTGTTCACTTTGAGACAAGCTTCCTGGGGTGGGGTGCGTGGTGGGTGGGGGGAGGCTTCCAACATTCAAATCACCTTCTTTGGTTCACACAAAAGACTAATTCAGGGGCTAGTGCTTCACACACAGGGCAGCCATCTGCAGCTTCAGGCCGGGGTGGAAGGAAGAAAATGGTTTCTTTTATTGTTCACAACAGTTTCATTGCGCCGTGCGTGCGGCTGAAGGCAGCCATTCAAAGGCAACAAGTTTAATTAGCAGAAACACATTTGCCCAGAGCCAGGCTGCTTCGGGAACTGCCGGCCTGATACCACGTACACGCTCACAACAGCCGAGACCGTGTGATTAGCAGAAAATCATCTTAAGTAGTGCAAGTATCTCGGGATTTCTATGGGACTGTACAAAGCCCGGAGAAGCCGGGCGGACGGCGCGCCCAGCTGCTCGGAGCCGGCAGACAGACAGAGGCCGCGGAGAAGTTACACCTTCTGCATGTGCTTTCCTCCTCCCGTGTGAGTGCCTGCCATGGCCACGGCCACGGCCAGGGCCACACAGAGCCGGGAGGGCTCCCAGGGACGGCTCCAGGGGAGGATGGGGCAGCCCTCACCCAGCAGGCAGCTCTGCAGGGACACACAGGGCTGGTTCCCCTGCTCTGTGGTTTCTGTCAAATCTGCAGAAATTTGCAGACCTGCGTGCGTGCCTGTGGGGGGGACTTGGAGGGAAGGAAAACTGCTGAAAATGTATTCAGAACTCGTCCTTCTACTTTATGGATGGAAACATCTTTCAAGTAGAACTGGGATATGTAGGAGCTGGATGAAGTATTAAGATGGTTCTACCGCTATAGGGTACAAATGAGAAAACAGGGCAGAGGGTCAACAGCGAGGCCGCACAGAGCTGAGCAGGAAGACAGGGAATCAGGTCCCTGGACTCCAGGCTGGGGTCCTCACTGGTGACCACGGAAGTTGGGACCCTGTACAGCAACACTGTGTGGTAGGAACATGCAACAGGGATCCAGGTACCTGCTCCTGGCTACAGCACCAGGCCAGCAGCCATGCCCCTGTCTGGTCTGAACAGGATGGATGACCCCACGCTGGGTGCAAAGTGGTGGGCTCGTGGTTGGGCAGGACCTATTCATCTGCACGCACACACACACACACACACACACACACCTGTTCAACTTGGCAGCAAATACAAGAGAAACACATCAATGGTGGTCCAGGTACAGCAGAACCTGTTTCCCCAAAACTCCTACAGTTGTTCAACCTCAGATGTCATCATGGTAACGGTGGATGGATTAGGGTGGATTAGGTGGAGACTTGAGGCTGGTGGGAGGTCTGGGCCACTGAGGGTGTGTCCTCGGAGGGCGGGTCTCCTGAGAGGTTTGATTATTGGAGTGCAAGTCCAGTCTGGGTTCTCGCTCCTGCCTGGTTCAACGTATGCTCCACGCCTCTGCACCCACCACCAGCCGCCTCCATCAGAAGCCAGGCTGTGGGCCGCTCGATCTCTCATCTCCAGACTGTCAACTGAAATCAGCTTTTACTCTCCCAAAGCAGCTCCTCTCGGGTATTTTAGTTAAAGGAAGGGAAAGCGCACTGACACATGGGGCTCAGGATGGCCTTCATCAGGACACTGGCCCCGTCACTCTGTGCATTTCTGTCTTGGAACTTTGCAGGTCAGCTGTCCCTCTGCCAAAGCAGAATGGCATCACCCTTTAAATGAGCATTGTTGCACCCAGTGTCGTAACTATAGTCTCAGAATGATATCTATTAGATGTTCTTGCAACCCTTTAAACACCTGTTTGGAATACATGTAATACAATGCATAACTTTATACTGTTAACATAATTTTAAAAGGTTTTATTTATTTGAAAGAGTTACAGAGAGAGGTAGAGACAGAGAGAGAGAGAGAGGTCTTCTACCCAGTGGTTCACTCTCCAATTAGCCACAACGGCCAGAGCTGAGCCGATCCAAAGCCAGGAGCCAGGAGCTTCTTCCAGGTCTCCCACATGGGTACAGGGGCCCAAGGACTTGGGCCATCCTCTGCTGTTTTCCCAGGCAAGTTATCAGGGAGCTGGATCAGAAGTGGAGCAGCCAGGACTCAAAACAGTGCCCATATGGGATGCTGGTACTGCAGGCCAGGGCTTTAACCTATGCCACCACACCAGCCCCTAAGAATTTAAACTATTTGAAAGTTGGGATGAAACTAATCCTCAGTTCTCTTTGTCCCAATTCTGTATCCATGCTGATGGACAACAAACAGGCACCATCCCAATGCACGTTTAATTTTTTAAGAAGATTTATCTATCTCTGTTAAATTATTTATTTGAAAGGCTAAGCAACAGAGGGGGGGGGGAGAAATATCTTCCATTCACTGGATTGCTTCCCAAACAGCTGCAATAGCCCACACTCAGTTAGACTGAAGCCAGGAGCTTCTTCCAGTTCTCCCACAAGGGTGACAAGGGCCAGGTACTTGGACCGACTTCTCAGGCACATCAGCAGGAAGCTGTATTGGAATCAGAGCAATCAGGACCCATACCAACACTCTGACATGGGACAGCACTGATGCAAGTGGTGGCTTAGCCCGCCGTGCCACAACGCTGTCCCCCAATGCACTTTTCAATGGACTTCACTTTTCACAACAGTTTAGGTTCACAGCAAGATGGAGAGGAAGGCAGGTACAGAGATGAGAATGCCCACATGGCCACTCTGCCTACACAAGCACAGCCTCCCTCACCATCACCATCCCCACCAGAGTGACCCTGTTGTTAGAATCCATGAACCTACACGGACACATCCCCACCCGAGTTCCACCCAAGTCCATGGATCCAGGGTTCATCTGGCTGTTGGCGTTTTCCGTGGGTTTGAACACCTGCATGATGGTGTGCATCCATCACTACAGAACTCTGCAATCCCTTGAGCTCAGCCCATTCATCCCTCCCCAGCCCCAGGCCACTGTCAGTCTCCTTATCGTATCTGTAGTACTGCCATATATATATATATAATATATATATGGCAAATAGATACATCATATATATGATGTATCTATTTGATAGTGTTACAGAGAGAGACACGGAGAGAGAGAATTTCCATGCACAAGTTCACTCTCCAAGCAGCTGCAATGGCCAGGGTTGAACTAGGCCAACACCAGGAGCCAGGAACTTCTTCCGGGTCTCCCACGTGGGTGCAGGGGCCCAAGCACTTGGGCCATCCTCCACTGCTTTCCTAGGTGCATCAGCAGGGAGCAGGATTGGAAGTGGAGCAGCCGGGACTCGAACCCACGCCTATATGGAATGCCGGGGTCGCAGGCAGCGGCTTTACCTCCTAAGCCACAGCACCAGCCGTGTTGCTTTTCTCACAGTTTGCCACTTTTACAGACCGGCTCCTATCACTTCGTAGGCACTGAAGGTGCCTCCCTGTCTCTCCATGGCTTGATAGCACTTTAGCACTAAATAACAGTCCCCACAAAGATTTCTAATAAAACAGTAAAGATTACGGGAAAAGACTGGAGGGGGACATTTAAACAGGCAAGCGTGCAGCATAACTGAGTCTCTAGGGATGACGGGGTTAAGGGTGAAGCATAGCGCAGATTGTAGGAGCCCATGTGAAAGCATCAACGCTTCCCACTAATCCCGGCTGAGTCTTACCACTTAAGACAGTCTGGATTCTAAAACCTTCCGAAGAAGTGACACAGCCGAGTCCCTTGGCCAACCAACTGCTTAACCACCTGCGATGCTGCCCTGAGCTCCGAGCCCTGGGGAACCACCTCCTGCACACGGCCCTTCCACGACTCCTGTCCCAGTGTCCCCTGTGTGCTCACCATCAAGGCTCCACCTGGGACTCAGTCTCACTCAGCGCCTCCAAGCTGGTCAAGGCTGAGGGTGGGAGGACTCGCCTTCATCCCCAGGGCTGGAGGAGCACTGAGTTTCCAGGCAGGGCAGGCGCTTGGTTGGATTTGAGTTTGAGACAGATCTCTGTATCCAGGGGTGCTCAGAGCCCGGGTGGGTGAAAGGGGCAGCCCTGACCCAGAGCGGGGTGGCAGCCATGATGGCGAGGAGGGGCTGGTTGAGAGGCGGTAAACCCACAGGACTGCCCACAGCTGCTGCAGGCACCAGGCCCTCTCCACCAGGCATTGCGGCTCGGGCACGGGGGGCTCTGGGAGACGACTCAGACTTCCCAAAGCAGCAACAGAAGCTTTCGTGCTGCCTCGCTGGGCAGGGCGACAGGGGGCAGGGGGCAGATGGCAGCCCCCCTGCCGACCACCGGGACCCCCAAGGGGAGGAGCACCCCAGACCTCACTCTGTGAGTTTCAACAGCGACCTCTGGCCCTGGCCATCCGATGGGTGGCCTTACTCA